CTCCTGGCTCATGCAGTCAGGAATTACTCCTGGCGGTGCTTGGGGGACCATATGGGATGCCAGGAATCAAACCTGGGTCAGCCGGGTGCAAGGCAAACGCCCTACCTGCTGTGCTATTGCTCCAGCCCCTCAACATCTTAATTAACATATTAATTCTACTTTTTTTGGTGGGGGGTCACACCTGGTGATACATAGGGTTCACTCCTGGCTCTGCACTCAGGAATTACTCCTGGCTGTGCTTCGGGGACCATATGGGATGCTGGGAATCGAACCTGGGTCGGCCGCGTGCAAGGCAAATGCCCTATCCGCTGTGCTACATCTCCAGCCCCCGCAGTTTGGGTTTAGAGTCCATTGTTTAGCATCTTTCTGCTCAGATACTGCACAGATTTAATAACAAGACTCAGGGTAGGATGGATAGGGGTACAGAATGTGGCATAAGCTGGAAGTTTGTTCTGCCTCTTTATCGCTGGCCATAAATAGCTTCTGCTAGTTCACTGAGTTTTTCTCTGTTTGATTTTCCTCTTTCCTTTTCTGATTTAGGCAAGAAGCTATTCAGAAAAAGTAAGTAACCTCAAGAAGGTAGGGAAGTAAGGGATCAACTCAAGTAGTCTAGGGGCAGTTGTGCTGCTTAGCCTGGGATTAGTACAAAACCTTGGTTGACCTGTGCCCTTAAATCAACTCATTCCCTGGGATAGACATTGAGGATATAAAGAATAAAATATGTTTCAAAGACATGGAGGCCTGGATGTAGCTCCATGGTACAGCACCTCATGGTACTGGGTAATCCTGGTTGTTTGTTTTGTTTGTTTGTTTTTAAATTTTTAACCTGTCAAAGAAATTGACTTGCTTTCTTCATTGTAGCAAAGTTCCAAAGAAAAATTAGTCAAATGATATAATGTCCGGCCAGCTGCAGTCCCTACCTTGACCTACATTCCTGGGGGATATTGTGAATCTTGATTAACTGGCCATGTGTTCATTTTGTAATTCTGCTATTCATCAGCAAATTTACTTGGATGATAGTGCCAAGAAAGTTGAATGATAGCTGTTATGAGGGTTGGGCCATGGTTAAAACCTTGTGTTTGTAGACAAGAAACCCCCTTACTAAATGGCATTGCCATGGTCACTGACGTAATTGAACATTGTTTACATTTTATTTATTTATTTTTAAAATAGAAAGGTTTATTGGAGAGTAGAAGAAAAAGGAAAGGAAATTCCCCAACCAGGAAGAAACTTAGTCTAGGACTAAGTTCTTCATTGTTTGGTTTTAAAATGAGATTCTTCTTGAAACCCAGTGGCTTTTGGCAGAAATGCATCCGGACCAGGCAGTAGATTACTGTCACTGGGCCACCCCAGGGGGGAAGGGTGTTGTGCCTCTGCCTGCTTTCCCCTGGTGGCTCAGTGGCCGTCATCCTCCAGAGGCCATTGGACAGTCAGGTTTGGGCCCGCAGTGACGAGATATTTTAGGTCTCACATGATGGGGGTGGAGCCAGTCCTGCCCTCCACACCCCAACTAGACCCCAAGTCACAGCCCACAAACAGCCTTTCTGGCTCCTGATCAAGCTGCTTAATGGCCATGATCCCAGAGACTCAGGAACAAATCTCGGAACCCAGCAGATTTTGGCAGAAATCCCTCCAGATTTAAGTGTTAAAATTTCGGAATTTCAAAATCACGCGGCCACTACTGCAGCCACGCGACATCATATGTTATTCATAACCAGCAATAGAAAACAAATTGTCTACTGTTGCCTTTTCAGCAGATCTGAGTGTTGGGGTAAAATCTCAAATAATATTGGTGGGTCTGGTGTCAAAATATTGAATGTGATCAAAGTAGAAAGAGAGTAATGTGGAAATCATCTGCCCCACACGTAGGGGGAGGGTGTGGGATGGTGGTATACTGGGGTTGTTGGGAGTGGAGAATGGGCACTGGTGAAGGTATGGGTGTTTCATTGTATGACCGAGACTTAGACCTGAAAGCTTTGTAACTGCTCTCACGGTGATTCAATAAATAAAATTATAAAAATGAAAAAAAAGTAAAAAAAATAAAATGAGATTCTATCCTGTTCAAATTCAGTTTACTTAATAAAAGTAAAGAAAGCTAACTTTAAAAAATAGTGTTTTCTGTAAGAGAAAAAAACTCTTAAAGCCAGATCTATTCCATATACTCCTAAAGTATAGAAAAGGATAGTATGATATCCAGTTCATTTGCCCAAGTGTGTGTTTCAGTACAAAAACAAAAAAGTGAGGACTTGCATGAAAGAACCCAGCCTTCAGTTTGTAGCATTACATGGTCACCCACGCACAGAGTTGGGAGCAGTTCCTGGGCACTGGCAGGGGTGACCTTAAAACAGAAACCAAAACAAAGGGAAAAATTAAAATAAGATGGCACAAGGCTATGTAGAAGATTTTTTTTGTACCTATAGGTGAAAAATCATTGACTATTTTGAAGCATTGCTAAATTAATTCTATAAAGACATGCTTGACAGCAGCTGCAAAACACAGTTCATTACTAGGAAATAATGAACTGCCCCTGATTTACAACGAAAACACTGTTTAAAAAAATTCAACACCTATACTTTTGTTTGGTTGGTTATTTGTTCTGGGGCCACACCTGACTGTGCTTAGGACTTACTCCTGACTCTGTGCTCGAGAGACCATTTGTGGAACCAGGTCAACCCTGCTACTGCAAGGAAAGTGTGTTAACCTCTGTGATGTCTCTCTGGCCCCTGTTTCTTTCCTATTTAACTTTTGTTTCTAAATCACACTTAAGAACGTTTCTAAGAGCCGGGCAGCACAGAATTAGTCCTGTGGGTAGGGAACTTGCCTTGCATGTGGTTGACAGGGGTTTAATCCCTGGCATGACACAAGGTCCCTCGAGCAAAATGAATATAGCCCCCACAGTTTTCTTTTTTGCTCCATAACTGAAATTTCAAAAGGCCTTTTCAGTGATAATTTCTTTCTCTTTTTAAGAAGATTTTTATTGAAACTATGAGATACACAGTTACAAATTGGTTCATGATTGGGTTTCAGTTATACAATGTTCCAACATCTGTCCATTCACCAATATGTATATCCCACCTCCAGTGTCCCCAGTTTTCCTCTGGCCACCCTTCTCAAACTATTTTTAAAAACAAAGCACCAACAAAATCTTTGAAGAACAACAAAGAATGCCAGAATAAAATATTAGAACTGTGAGGCTCAGTGTTTACATTCTGACCACATATTTTACAGATGATAAAATAACTTCTCCAGGGTCAGATAAAATACTTCCCCAGGGTAGTCCAGCAGGTAGGGAGTTTACCTTGAACGCAGTCAACCCAGGTTCAATTCCTGTCATCCCAGATCGTCCCCTGCTCACTGCCGGGAGTGATCCTTGAGCATCGCCAGCTGTGGCCCAAAAGACCCAACTATCCAGGCCCTTCCATCGAGTTTGAGCGTCAGTTGGCGAACACTTGTCAGGTGTTCCCTGCTAATTCCTCAGTATAAATAGGAACCCCACTGTTTCCTGTTGTCCCTAGCATGGAGCAACACATGAAGGAATCTTGGAAGTGACTGACTTCAGTCACCTGCCCCTGTTTCTATATAAGTTTAATTGTGTAGCTTCAGGAGATTAGCTTATCTAATTTTTTAAATGGTGAGTGCCCTAACTTGGTCCCATAGTGTACCCATCTACGTAGAATAGCTTGTATTTAACAGAGGTGATGTTGGAAAAAACTGGTTGTAGATCCTGATATCTCAATAAAAATAGTAATGAAATAAAACGCGCTGGAAAGACAATACAGGGTTTAAGATTGTTGCCTTGTGTCCCACGGACCCCTGATGGTGTGTATGTACTCCTGAGCATAGCATAGCCCCTGAACCACTGGTAGTGGCCCCCTCCCATAGCCATAACAAACTTTTTGTTTGTTTTGTTTTAGGGACACACCTGCCAGTGATCAGGGCCTATTCCTGGCTTTGCGTTCAGGGATACCCCCTAGTATCCCTGAGTATCCACACCTAGCGGTTCCCAGGGGACCGTATGGGGTGCCAGGGATTGAACCTGGGATGGCTGCATGCCAGCCAGGCGTCCTGCCTGCTGTACTACCTCTCCAGCCCCTACGGTACAAAAGTTTTTGAAAAATTTGAGATGCAAGGGCGAACTCTAAAATCCAAAAATTGACAGAAGTTAAAATATAGAGTGGAGGGCGGCGTGGTGTGGGTAGAGTGATGGCACAGCCGGGTCCCTTGCTTGTGGTGCAATTGTGGCCACCCGGGCACCGCATCTATATGGTCCCGGATTTCCACCAGGAGGGAGGAGGGATCCCTGAGCGTGGAATCGGGGGTTATGCCCTGAGCACTGCAAATGCGACTCAAAGGCCGAAAAAAGAAAAAAGAAAAAGCCACAAGAGGAAGAAGGAAGTGGGAAGGGAAGTAGCACTGCCTCCTCCTGCCCTGGCATTAACAGCTTGCCCCGCTGCCAGCCTTCCTGGCGCCTCTGGGGGCGTCTTGCGCCCCGCTTCCCCCCCACCCCCAAAGCAGTGAGCGAAATCGCCTCCCTAGATACAGTGCAAAGCAGACCCTGAATGGCCACGTCGGATTCTTCGGGATGTTGCCGAGCTATACCAGCAGGGCCGGAAGGAGGGCATTTGGCGGCTGGGGGCCTCGAAGTCACTTTGGGGGGTGGGGGGGTCCAGGGCCCAGTGCCAAGCATGCACAGTGGTGAAGGAGTCTTGAACGCACAGCCCTTTGCCCTGGGAGAGGGCGAGTTTCAGGGCGCGTCAAACGCATCCCACAAGCGGCGGGCCAAAGGCGCTGGACCTGGGGGTTCCTCGGAGGCAGAACCAAGGTGGGGGATGGGGGCGTAGCGGGTACCGTGAACCTGGCGATGGGCAATGCCGAGCCGCGCCCGCACGCCAGCCGCGGTGGGGGTGGGGGTGGGAAGGGGTCAGGCCACCGCCCAGGTCTGGCCACCGCCGCGGGCGGGGCTTCGGGCGCTATAAGCACCATTGGGTCCCAGTGCGGGAAAGGCGAAGGACGCGGAGAGTAAGTATGCGCCCCCCTCTCCCCGCCGCCCGGGCCCCCCGCCCCAGCTCAACCCTCACCTTCCTGCCCCTTGTCCCTCTGCCCCGCAGTGGCTGCCTCTCGAGACGCCGAGATCCTGAATTCCGTGAAGGTGAGCGCCGCGGGGCTCGGATGGGGGGCGGGGGCCGGGGCTGGCCTCCCACTCCCCACACTCTGTTCACTCCTCGGGGGCGCAGGGACGGAGGTCGCAGGCAGGGCCCGGGCGGGGCCGCGCCCGGCCGCAGGCTTCTGACGCCGGCTTGTCCCTCCCCCCACTCCCTGGCCTCGACCCCTGGCTCAGACGTACTACGGGAAGGTGCTGAAGAAGTCAGCGGATCTCCAGACCAACGCGTGCGTCACCCCGGCCAGGCCGGTGCCCAAGCACATCCGAGAAGCGCTGCAGAATGTGCACGAGGAAGTAACCTTGAGGTTAGTCGCCTGTCTTGGAAGAGCCGCCGCCGCCGTCACCGCCGCCGAAGTGCTGCCGGGCCTCCACCCAGTGGTGTGCCCTGGCTCTCCCAGCAGACACCTGGCACAGCCCTGACCTAACTTTAGCACTTCAGCCTGGATGAAGGGGCTGGAGAGAGTATACAGCGGGTAGGGTTCCTTGCCTGGCCCGCAGGCAGCCCGGGTTTGACCCCCAGCATCCCAGATGGTCCCCTGAGCACCAGAAGTCATTTCTGAGGGTAGAGCCAGGAGTAATCCCCGAGCAGCGCCAGGTGGTGTGACCCAACAAAAACCGGTGGTGGGGGTGGGTGGGTGGCAGGGAGTGGGGAGAGAATTTCCACCTGGATCTGAAGGGGGAATGCAATGCCTTGCCTTGCGTGTAGTTGGTGGATGTTCATCCCAGCACCGCGTATGGTACTCACAAAACACACACACACACACACACACACACACACACACACACACACACACACACCCCACTTTCTTTTTTTTTCATTTAGATATTTTTTTAAAATTATTTTTAGTGAAACACCATGAGGTACAGTTGTAGATTTACAATTTTTTGTGCTTGGGTTTCGATTATACAATGATCAAATACCCATCCCTCCACCAGTGCCCATTTTCCACCACCATGGATAATATCCCTCCCACCCCCATCCCTCCCATCTCACCCTGCCTCTGTGGCAGGGCAATCCCTTGTGTTCTCTCTGTCCTTTTGGGTGTTGTGGTCTGCAAAAGAGGCTTTGAGTGGCAAACATGTTCAGTCCAGTCTACTTTCAACCTGCATCTCTCCTCCTGGGAGGATCCTCCAAACACCCTCCATTTGGTGCTCCCTTCTCTATCTGAGCTGCCCTTTCCCCTAGAATGCCCAGCTGGCCTCTAAGATATGGGGTAATCCTCCTGCACACCCCACTTTCAAAGAAAGGCTGATAGTTGACTCTGAGGGCAGGGTCATGCTTTGCATTTAATCAACCCAGAACTGGAGCCTGGCCCTCAACTCTGATGAGAGTAGCCTGCCTCCCAAACAGTGCTCTCACCACCCCTCCCCCACGAACACATACACACTTTACTACACGGTACACTCACTCCTCAGAGCAACACTGACTAGCTTGATGTTCTCTTCTTCAGGATTTATCAGCTGATGATTTTTTGTTTCGTTTTTCATTTTCCCGCTGCTCTTGGCTCCGCACTCATTAATTCCTCAGGGAGCCTTTGGTTTAAAGGGGAAATGAATCAACTGAAGAGAAATTAAGGGTCTATGGGAGGAGGGAAAGTGGGAGGGAGGGAGGGAGAAAGGGAAGATACCTAAGGTTTGGTGGTCCGAGACTGAGATGGCGCAGGGGCTGCAACTTACTGCCACGTTGCATACAGCAGGCCTGAGGTCCCCAGCTCGGCAAGGTCCCCTGAGCACTGCCAGGACTGGTCTCCAAGCACTGAGCTGGAAGTAGCCCCTGAGCACCACCAGGCAATTTCTTTGTTTAGAAATGAGGCAAACAAACAAAACTTGGTGTTCTACACCTTGTAGTTCGTCTCTTGTGGGGAAAAGAAATGTAGCTCTGTGTCCTTGCTTCCTCAGGTATTATGGCTGTGGTCTGGTTCTGCCTGAGCGTGCGTTTGGAAAACTGCTGGATTCTGGACCTGGGTAGTGGAAGTGGCAGAGATTGCTATGCCCTTAGCCAGCTGGTTGGTGAGAAAGGACGTGTCACTGGAATCGATATGACCGAAGGCCAGGTGAGGCAAGAAAGCATTCCCTGCAGCTCACTTTCATCTGTAGATACAGTTGTTTCCGCTCTGACTCAGGATAATTTATGAGAGTTGCTCTTTCTGATTACTCATTGGTTCCACTGATGTTCCCTGTCCTCGAGGCAGAGAACTTGGACAGTTAGTTTGTTTTGTTTTGTTTTGCTTTTTGGGTCATACCCAGTGATGCACAGGGTTTACTCCTGGCTGTGCACTCAGGAATTACTCCTGGCAGTGCTCAGGGGACCATATGGGATGCTGGGTATCGAACTTGAGTTGGCCACGTGCAAGGCAAACGCCCTACCTGCTGTGCTATTGCTCCAGCCCCCAGTTAGTCGTTCTTTGGGGTGAATCTAGAGGCAGGTTTACTCTGATATATGAAGATCCAAAGAGGAACTGTTTGGAGCTCTCTTGGACAAGTTCCAAGAAAATCAGGCAAATTCCAAGTATCAAGCAGGGAATTTGGTCTCAGTGTGTGTGGGCAAGGGTTGTAATAAATCCCATATGCCCAGAGTAAAAAATCTGGTATGATTCTACCCAGAAAGAACCGGAGGAAGTATATTCCATTTATAATAGAGAATATTATAGGGAAAAGGTAGTGTATATTGGGGGCTAGAGAGTACAGGCGTTAAGGCATTTGTCTTGAATGTGGAAAACCCCAGTTTGATCCCTGGCACTGCATATAGTTCCCCAAGCAGTGCCAGGGGTGACCCCTGAGCACAGAGCCAAGAGACATCCCTGAGTACTGTAGGGTCTGACCCCATCCCCAACTCCCCCAAGATTCCCCCAGCCCCTGCGCCCAATAGTGTTTTTTGGTTTTGGTTTTGGGTCATACTCAGGGCTCTCTCTGAGCTCAGGGATCACTCCTGGCAGGGCTTGGGAGGACCATATGGGGTAGGGGGGATCCAACCCCAGTCATCTCTGTGCTAGGCAAGAGCCCTACCCAAGGTACTATTACTCCAGTCCCCCGATAGTGTATTTTTAAGATGTTGATGATGAGCTCAGTTTTTCTTCATTTAGGTCGAATTGGCTAAGAAATACGTTGACTACCACATGGAAAAATATGGCTTCCGGACTCCCAACGTGACTTTTGTTCTTGGCTACATAGAGAAGCTGGGGGAGGCTGGAATCGATGCAGACAGTCACGACATTGTGGTGTAGGTATTGATCCTGATGTGGGTATCAGTTCACTTTCACTGAACACACAGACATCACCACTTTTTGCTGAATTGCCTCATCAAGGGTGTGAAAACTAAACTTGGCAGGAAGCTGGTGGGAGGGAGCTGGTGAGCACTGTAGTGCTGGAGAACACAGTGGGCCAAGGGGAAACTGGCCGAATTTAATTAACTGTTATTTTTAGTGAAGTAAATTAGTTTTATTTTTTTATTTTTTAAAAAATTTTTCAATTATTTTTTGCTTTCTGGGTCACACCTGGCGATGCACAGGGGTTACTCCTGGCTCTGCACTCAGGAATTACTCCTGGCGGTGCTCAGGGGACCATATGGGGTGCTTGGAATCGAACCCAGGTCAGCTGTGTGCAAAGCAAACGCCCTACCTGCTGTGCTATCGCTTCAGCCCCAAATTAGTTTTATTTTTAAGAGAGGGAGAAAGAGAGAGAGATAGGCATGTTCAAGAGAGAACGTGGGTTTCTTCAGAGTGGAAAAACCAGGGAACTTATTTTATTTTATTTACTTATTTTTAAATTTTTATTAGTGAAACATCATGAGGTACAGTTGTAGACTTACAAATGTTTGTGCTTGGGTTTCAATTATACAATGATCAAATATCCATCCCTCCACCAATGCCCATTTCCCACCACCACGGATCCCAGTATCCCTCCCCATCCCCCCATCTCACCCTGCCTCTGTGGCAGGGCATTCCCTTTGTTCTCTCTCTCTTATTGGGTGTTGTGGTTTGCAAAAGAGGCAATGGGTGACAATCATGTTTGGTCTATAGTCTACTTTCAGCATGCTTCTCCCATCCTGGGAGGATCCTCCCAACACCCTTTATTTGGTGCTCCCTTCTCTATCTGAGCTCCCTTTTCCCCTAGCATGTGTGCTTGGCCTCCAAGCCATGGAGCAAACCTCCTGGTACTAATCTCAGCCATTCTTGGGTGTCAGTCTCCTATTTTGTTACTTTATGTTCCCCAGATGAATACAATCTTTCTATGCCTGTCCCTTTCTTCCTGAGTCATTTCGCTTAACATGATACTTTCCATGTAGTACCACTTGTATGTTATTTTCATGACTTTTCTAACAGCTACACAGTACTCCATTGTGTAAATGTACCAAAGTTTCTTTAACCAGTCATCTGTTCTCAGGCACTCAGGTTTTTTCCAGATTCTGGCTATTGTAAAGAGTGCTGCAATGAGCAAACAATTGCAGATGTCACTTCAGGTATACTTTTTTGCCTCTCCGGGGTATATTCCCAGAAGTGGTATTGCTGGGTCAATTGGGAGCTCAATTTCTAATTTTTTGAGGATCGTCCATACTGTTTTCCAAAAGTGCTGAACCAGTCAGCATTCCCGCCAGCACTGAAGTAGGGTCCCTTTCTCACCACATCCGCGCCAGCACCGGTTGCTTTTGTTCTTGTGGATATGGGCCAGTCTCTGTGGTGTGAAGTCATATCTTATTGTGGTTTTGATCTGCATCATTAATCTGAGCATTTTCTCCTGTGCCTTTCAGCCATTCGAATTTCTTCTTTGTGAAAGTTTCTATTCATTTGATCTCCCCATTTTTTGATGGGGTTGGATGTTTTCTTTTTGTGGAGTTCAACCAGTACTTTGTATATCCTTGATGTCAACCCCTTATCGGATGTGTATTTGGCGAATATCCTTAGGGAACTTATTTTAAACTTAATATAAATCAGGGAGTCCAAAGGACCAGTATGATTTTTTTTCCACATCTGGCAGTGCTCAGACCTTTCTCCTGGCTATTGGTCAAGGATCACTTCAGGCGGGGTTCAGGGTATGGTATGGGGTGCTAGGAATTGAACCCATGTCAGCTGTGATTGAGGCAAGGGCCTTACCTGCTGTACTATTTGCCCCCCAGCATGATATTTATTTTGGAGTTGGCCACACCCGGTGATCTCAGTAGTAACTCCTGGCTCTGCACTCACTCTGGGGATGGTATAGGATGCCGGTATCGAGCCCAGGTTGGCCACGTGCAAGGCAAGCTCCCCAACTTACTATACTATTACTCTGACCCCAGCATGACATTAAAAAAAACACAACTATTCCCTGTTGCTCTTTCATTTATTTATTTGGTTTTGATGCCACACCTGGCTCTGTAGCAGGTGATCACCCCTGGCAGGCTCAGGGAACCAAATGGGGTGCTGGTCATCAAACCTGGGTTGGCTGTCCCCGCAGCATGACATTTTTTGTATCCTTTTTTTCACGTTTTGTCTTTTCTTTGCTCCCATTTTCCATCCGCCACCACATGACAGCCTTACAGAAGTGGAACTTAGCCACTCACCTGTGCCTTCAGTTTGCACGTGGCCTTTTGTGGCATGGGGCTCACCTGGGTAGAAAGAATAATACCTGATGACTTTTTCTGCACTTGCTACAGTGTATTGAGATATTAGATTCTCTGCTCACCCCTTCCCCTCTGGGAAAAAGCTGAGGCTGGGGACCAGGTAGCAAGAGGTGGCTTTGTAAAGTGGTGGGTGCCATCTTTAGGATCTGGAAGGAGCAGAAAATGTTGGGGTGATGCACAGATGGGCTTGACATGTCCTGTGGTCTTTTCTTTTTTTGATATGGGACTCACGTGGCTGTACTCAGGGCTTATCCTGGTTCTGCACTCAGGGCTCACTACTAACAGGACTTGGGAGAGCATTTAGGGTGCTGGGGTGCAGGTCGCTCCTGTGCAAGACAATTGCCTTACTTGCTGTTCTCTCTCTGGCTTCACCTCTGGTCTTTTTTAGATCAAATGGTGTCATTAACCTTTCGCCTGATAAAGAACAAGTGCTGCGGGAGGTGTATCGAGTGCTCAAGGTATGGAGGACTTGGGGGATCAACGGTTCTTAAAAATGGTCCTGGACAAACAAACAGGCCCAACTCTGATGTTCTAGCGCTTGAGCTAAGCGCCCGTACCCTTGATTTAACTGCTGAGTCGAAACCCAAACCGGGCGGGGATCACGCTAAGGGCTGGAGCGCGAGGTCACCTGGCACTACCTGGGACCCTGAGCAACAGCCTGACATCAAACAACAAAAGCAAACAATAGCCCAGTTACAGATTCTTTTTCTTTTGTTTTTTCCCTTTAGCTTGTAAACTAAAAAAAATGTCAAAAATCAGGATTATCATTGAATATATCTAAAGCCTTGTTTTACTGGCTCATAATTTAGTGCTCCCTGAATAGCTTCCGCAGTGCTGGAGGAAGCTCTAGGCTGACAACAGCTTCTACTGTTGTTGTTCTGGGACACCCCCACTAGTGCTCAGGGTCTTCTTGGGGTGCTGGGTGGTTGCTCCTGGACCACTTCGGGATACCTGTCCCTCCCACATGTAAGGCCTGAGTTGCAGCCTGTTGAGCTGCACTGATGAATAAACTCTTCACCAAACACTGTGAGTGCACATTTCCAGCTCCTGTTCCACACGGCTGCTCCTTCCTTCCTTCCTTCCTTCCTTCCTTCCTTCCTTCCTTCCTTCCTTCCTCCCTCCTTCCCTCCCTCCCTCTCTCCCTCCCTCCCTCCCTTCCTTCCTTCCTTCCTTCCTTCCTTCCTTCCTTCCTTCTTCCTCATGAAAGGCAAATGCCAAACCCGTTCTGCAGTCTCTCCAGCCCATGTACACTAGTTCTTTATGTAGGAAACATACTTACTAGAGAGATGATGCAAAGGGCTGGAGCACATACTTTGCCTGCAGGAGTCCCAGATTCAAGTGCAAGTGCTGCGTGATCCTCCAAACACCACCAGGAGTGACCCGTACCAAAAATAAATGTAAACTAAGGAGACATACTCAAAAGTTGTTTTATTAAAAACATATACCTTAGGGGCCAGAGAAATAGGGCATCATAGTGCGCAGGCGACCTGGGTTCAATTGCCAGCATCTCATATGGTCCTCAGAGCCCACCAGGAGGGATCTCTGAGCACAGAGCTGAAAGCTCGCACCCTGAGCATCTCTGGGTGTGACCCAAAACCCAAAACAAAACCCTTAATGTCAGAGTTGTGAAAGACTTGGAAACCCAATTTGCTTTCAATTTTTAATGTAATTACTTTGTTTCAATGTCATTACTTCCTCCTTTTTTGTGTGGGTGTTGAGATGATGGGAAGGGGTTGGTCGCACACTTGTGGTGCTGGTGCAGTGATGTCGGAGCTCAAACTCCTCACTTTATGCCTGTAAAGCAGGCACGTAGCCTCCGCCGCTCTCCTGCCCCCAGCTTTAAAGATCTCTTCCTCCTCTTAAAGCCAAGTACCATTCAGTCTCAGAGGAACCATTAGTCACTTTACCTCACCGATCCACTTCCAGCCCCTAGGAGTTTCCCTTCTGAGATCTGACTTACCTGCCTGCCTGGCGGCTCAGGGCTTCAGCAACTGTTTCTTTTCTATCTTTGTTCTACTTTGATGTGGTTGTATTAGAAATTTCTTATTTCTGTTTTTCTGTTGTTGCTTGTTGGTTTGCTTTGTTTTCTCTTTTTTGACTGACACCCAGCAGTGCTCAGGGCTTACTCCTGGTTCTGTGCTCAGGGATCACTTCTTTGGTGGTACACCCCGGCCAGCCATGAGCAAGTCAAATGCCTTAACCCCTCAGCTCCTCAATGCTCTTCCTCCTCTTCATCTGCTCTGACAGGGGGACAGGCTGCCTCGCTCCCTGTTGGGTCGTCGTTACACTTTGCTCAGCTGCAGCACAGCATCTGTGTTTGTCCCTTTATTCATGCAGAGTCTAACTCTGTCCGTCTGCATTGCAGCCCGGTGGGGAGCTCTATTTCAGTGATGTCTACGCCAGCCTTGACTTGCCGGAGACCATCAGGACCCACAAAGTGCTATGGGGTAGGTCTGTTCATGTGGTTTGGTTGCAAGGCTGTGACTCACTCAGGCAATGGCTCCATTCCGCTGCCCTTGGTGGGGAGGGGCACCCCAGAGCAAGGTCTGGAGGTTCCCGTGCCTTCCTGGGCACTCCAAACTGGATGACCTCAGTCTGTGGAATACATCATTTTGAATTATTGTTCTCTAATCTGTGAAGTGTGCATAATAAAATGGCAGCCACAGGAGCATAATAAAACAGCCCCAAGAAAGTGTGTGTGTGCACGTGTGTGCATGTGTGTGTATGAGATCCCTGGTCAATGCTACAACAATTTACCAAGGCAAGGAAAGAAGATAAATAGTTTAAGAAAGAAAGAAAGAAAGAAAGAAAGAAAAAAAAGAAAAGCTGCCCTGGTTGCTGTGTGACTCTTGCAGGAGTCTTGATTTTCACTGTGAGCTGGAGGTTACAAACATTAGCTGCACTGTGCCAGAAATCATGTACATTTTTGTGATGCAAGGGGTCAAATTTAGCATGTAGGGTAGTGCCTGCAAAATTATTGCTGTATCCCATCCTGCATCAGGCTGATTTCACCAGGCATATTAGGGCAGGGTAGGTGTGTTCCTCCCCCCGCCCCAAATGAACCCCAATAGCTGCAAATCTCCAGAACGCAATCACTGCCATACTCATGGCTGACCTTCACAGGTTTGTCCTAAGCCCCCCAATGCATGAGAATGAATCTGCTGAAAAACCCAGGTATGTAGGATCAGTGACTGAAAACTCTAGGCTTCACGGAGTCTGGTATAGGTGATCTTCCCCTATCTCCCTGCCCTTCCGGTTCCTAGGCAGTCAGCCGCAGAACTGTCTCTGGACACCATTTAAGCACATTAACAGCCATGATTCAGAGACTCACAAATGAATCTTGGAGGAAAGCAGCAAGCTGCAGAGATGCCTCCGGACCCCAAATATTTAAAAAATTTCAGAATTCCAGGAGTGCTCAGCCGCTTTTGCGGCCACATGTCTCATACTATTCATAACAACCAATACAAAATAAATTGTTTAGCATCTGTCTATGAATCAGGCTTGTGTGGTGGCAAAATTTGAAATAATGGTGGTAGGAAGGTGTAATGGTGGTGAGATTGGTGTTGAAATGTTGAGTGTGAACAATTATTGTGAACGAGTTTATGAAAATAAAAAACTGAAAAAAAGTAATGTGGATGCAGCACTTTTTACAATAGCCAGAATCTGGAAATAATCTTAGTGCCTGAGAAGAGATGACTGGTTAAAGAAACTTTGGTACATCTACACAATGGAGTACTATGTAGCTGTTAGAAAAGATGAAGTCATGAAATTTACATACAAGTGGTACTACATGGAAAGTATCATGCTAAGCGAAATGAGTCAGAAAGAGAGGGAATTACATAGAAAGATTGCACTCATCTGGGGAACATAAAGTAACAAAATAGGAGACTAACACACAAGAGTGGCCAGGATTAGTACCAGAATATCTGCTCCATGGCTTGGAGGCCAACCACACATGCTAGGGGAAAAGGGAGCTCAGATAGAGAAGGGAGCACCAAAAAAAAAAAAAAAAGGTGTTGGGAGGATCCTCCCAGGATGGGAGAAGCATGCTGAAAGTAGACTATAGACCAAACATGATTGCCACTCAATGCCTTTTTTGCAAACCACAACACTCAATAGGAGAGAGAGAACAAAAGGGAATGCCCTGTCACAGAGGTAGGGTGGGATAGGGGGGTGGGGGTGGGAGGGATACTGGGATCCGTGGTGGTGGGAAATGGGCATTGGTGGAGGGATGGGTATTTGATCATTGTATAATTGAAACCCAAGCAGAAAAATTTGTAAGTCTACAACTATACCTCATGGTGTCTCACTAATAAAAATTAAAAAATAAATAAATAAATAAAATTATAAAAAAAAGTAATGTGGAGTTCATGCCTGCATCGGTCAGCTTAATCAGTGGCTGAATAAATTAGCAATACTCCTACATTAAAAAAAAAAGATTATTGCTGTAACACTGACCCCCACCCCAAATATCTTATGTAAGCATATAAATAATTATCATATTTTGGTGCGGAAGATCCAAACCAGAGCCTGAGCCATACAAGGCTAGTGTTCTACCGCTACCTTCTGGCTCTTGAAATATCTTTAAATACTTGTGATAGATGTGGTAGATATTTGCACCAGACCTTTTAAAATTTTTCTTTCTTTTCTCTTTTGTTCTTTTTTCCCTTTTATTTTTCCGGCCATACCAAAGGTTATACTGCTGGTTCTGCACTCAGGGTTCATTCATGATGTTGCTCAGGGGACTGTATATGATGTTGGGGATCAAACCCGGGTCAGCCGCGTGTAAGGCAAACACACGCACCAATGTATGTGCTGTTCCTTTGGCCCTGCACTAGGCTTTATCAGACCATTTGTTCCCTGGTGATCACTGAACTTGCTTCTGATTTATTGATGTAAGAAATAAAAAGAACTAGGACCAGAACAATAGGACAGCAGGTACGGTGCTTGCCTTGCACGTTGCTGACCCAGGTTCCATCTTGAGCATCTCATATGGTCCTTGAGCACTCAGCTAGGAGTAGTTTCTGAATGCAGAGCCAGAGTAACCCCTCAGCATCACCACGTGTGGCCTCCTCCCCCCGAAGAACAAATAAACACCCCCCAACCTCAAAACAACGGGAATAAAAAGAAATCAAAAAACTATAAAATGCTCATGAACATGAGTAGGAGTGTCCAAGAGCAGATCATTGTGAGATTAATCTGAGCTAAGGGATAGTTTTGTGGGTGTGTGCTTCTTTTTCCCGTTTACTAACATAACAGTGCTTTTCTCTGTGTGCCTCAAAACTGCCTGAATATTATGATCACAGATAGGTGAAAGTGATACCTTCATAGCTGTTCTGAAGAATGTTTTCTGCGGAGGGGCTGGAGAAATAGCAGAGTGGGTAGGGCAATGGCCTTGCATATGGTTGACCTGAGTTCAATTCCCCAGCATCCCAAATGGTCCCCTTGAGTGCTGCCAGGAGTAATTTCTGAGTACAGAGCTAGGAGGAAGCCCTGAGCACTGCTGGATGTGGCCCCAAAACAAAAGAATGTTTCCTGTGGGCTATTAGCTGGCTTATCTAGTTTTATTGATTATTATTAGTCTATTGATTTTGGTGCTAAGGACTAATCCTAGGACCTCACATGTGAACCAAGTCATATCTTGGCCTATGGTTTAATTGTAACTTTCTAGATCTCAGGGATACACCAAGGTTCTTCTCTTTCTTGGACCAATGTTCTGGTTTTGTTTTGAATAGAGGCCCCAGGCCCAGAGAGAGGGATCAGAGGGAATGCAGGCTTTGCTTTTGGAAGACCTCGGTTCAATCTCTGGCACCACAGGGTCCCCTGAGGATCACCAGGAGCAGCTCTCAAACACAGAGCTGGGAGTAACCCTTTAGGACCACCAGATATGTCCCACAAGCCAAAATAAATAGGGGCCACAGTGGGTAGTGCGGGGGGACAGGGAGTGGCCCGGTACCAGGGATCAAACTTCGGGGCTTGCATATGCCAGGCAGATGCTGTGATGTGTGAGCTAATACCCAGCCCATGTTTTTTTTCTTCTTCTTCTTTTTTTTAAGAGTACTTTTTTTGGTAAAAGTACAGCTATCTATTTGGCCATTGATTAAGCTGATTGAATTGGGCATGAACCCATGTTTTTTATTTCTTTTTCTTTTTCCTTTTTTTCTTTCAGGAGAGTGCTTGGGTGGTGCTTTGTACTGGAAGGACCTTGCCATCCTTGCCCAAAAAGTTGGATTCTGCCCTCCACGTCTGGTCACTGCCAGCATTATTACAATTCAAAACAAGGAACTGGAAAGCGTGGTTGGTAAGCCATAATTGGCGATGAGACTGCTTGTATTCAGAGACCAGTGAGGGTCTACTGAGCGACTGACTCTGAGCTTCCTGTCCCCTGGAAATCGTGGTTTGGTTCTGGGACCAAACCTCTCAGATTTGGGATTTAATAAAAGCCTTCAAAGTTAATCACCTAATAGAGCTAAAGCAGTTGCTGCCTGTGAAAGCCATCTCTACACTGCCAGCACTCTTGGTCACTGAGTAGGCCCACAGTAGAGGAAGCGCAGGGTTCTTGACTAAATTTTGTTTTCAGGTGACTGTCGTTTTGTCTCTGCGACATATCGTCTCTTTAAACTGCCAAAGACAGAAGCAATGCAGAGATGTCAAGTGATTTACAATGGTGGAATCAAGGGGTATGAAAAGGAACTAATCTTTGATGCAAATTTCACATTTAAGGTAAGTAAGAATTTCCAGGACCTCTGTCTCTCCTCCTTTTCCTCCCGTCCCACATCACCAGCCTGACTTGTGCTGTTCTTTCTACTTTGAGCCTTGCTCCATAGACTGGGACTCTTAGCCTTCGCTTTGCAATGCTTCTTATTTCTCTGGTTTGTACATGGGTAAGTTCATGTACCTTTACTGAACTGTTAGTATATTATACTTATGCCTCCATTATGCTATGTTATCCTAAGTCCTTCTGCATGTACAGCTCAGGAACAAAACATAACCACAATTCTTCCTCCCCCTCTTTTTTAAAAATTTTTTTTATAATTTTATTTATTGAATCACCGTGAGAGCAGTTACAAGCTTTTGGGTATAAGTCTCGGTCATACAATGAAACACCCGCACCTTCACCAGTGCCCATTCTCCACCCTCAACAACCCCAGTATACCCCCATCCCACACCCTCCCCCTACCTGTGGGGCAGATGATTTCCACATTACTCTCTCTACTTTGATCACATTCAATATTTTGACACCAGACCCACCATTATTATTTGAGATTTTACCCCAACACTCAGATCTGCTGAAAGGGCAACAGTAGACAATTTGTTTTCTATTGCTGGTTATGAATAGCATATGATGTCATGTGACGGCAGTAGTGGCCACGTGATTTTGATATTCCGAAATTTTAACACTTAAATCTGGAGGGATTTCTGCCAAAAGCTGCTGGGTTCCGAGATTTGCTCCTGAGTCTCTGGGATCATGGCCATTAAGCAGCTTGATCAGGAGCCAGAAAGGCCCTTCATGGATGATGACTTGGGGTCTCGTTGGGGTGGGGATGAGAGGACCGGCTCCACCCCCGTCCTGTGAGGCCCAACAAGTTTCGTCACTGCGGGTCGAAGCCTGACTGTCCAATGGCCTCTGGAGGATGGTGGCCACTGAGCCACCTAGGGGGAGCAGGCAGAGGGACAGCACCCTTTTCCTCCTGCTCCCCCCCTTTTAAACCACTATTCTTTGATCATATTCAAGTAGTGTACTTTGAGAAGCACCAGTTAATATTTTTGGAATTGTGTTTTGTTTCTTTTTTGGGACCACACCTGTTGATGCTCCAGGGTTATTCCTGGCTCTGTGCTCAGGGATCATTCTTGGAGGTACACAGGGGATCTTATGAGGGTGCTGGGGATGGAACTCAGGCCAATTTCATGTAAGGTAACTACTTTGACTCCCATTCTGTATTGCCAGCTCTGCAGAAGCATGAGTTTAATGGAATTACCGAGGATAGAAAAAAATTGGTATCACACAACCACATTTCAGTTGTTTAGTGGCTGGAACTCTTTGGTACTATTGCAGCAACATGGGAAGATGCCATTGTTGACAACATTGACGAGGAATACGATCGACTGGTTCAGCACCTCCATGAATGCGCAAGGAACGCCAAGAGAGAGATAGCCACAAAAAGTCGCCTATCTTCGAAAACTCTTGAGCTAATTCGCCAGCGTGGTTTGGCGCATGCCTCAGGCAACCGCAAGCTAACGTCCGAGCTTGCAAAGCAGTGCAGAGATGCGATCAAGGAAGACCTCAAAGAGAGAAGAGCAGAAGTACTGGTAGATGCAGCAGAAGCCGGGAAAAGTATTCGTAATGCCCGCCTGTCCTTCGCCAATTATAAGACCAAGATGACTGCCCTCCGATGTCCTGATGGATCCATCACATCCTCCAGAACGGCAATGGAGAAGATTATCCATGACTTCTACTCAAATCTCTTCGATAGCCATGTCCACTTGCCGACATACTAAATTCCACAGGATGGGTATGTCGTTCCCAATGTTCTCCCTTCCGAAATCCGACACGCCATTTCGTCGGTAAAGAAACAAACAGCACCCGGCCCAGACAAGGTCAGACCTGAACACCTGAAGAACCTGCCGTCAGTACTCATCAATACACTGGCTCGGCTCTTCACTCGCTACCTGTCTGAATGCAAGGTTCCGTCCCAATGGAAAACCAGCAGGACCGTACTACTGTTCAAGAAGGGAGACATCCATGACATTGGCAACTATCACCCGATCTGCCTATTGTCTGTCATCTATAAGTTGTTCACTCGAGTCATCCTGAATAGGATTGGCAGAACACTAGATGAAGGACAACCATGCGAGCAAGCAGGGTTCCGCAAAGGATTCAGCACCATAGACCATATCCACACGATAACCAAGCTCATTGAGGTTTCTCGGGAGTTCAAGATGCTGCTCTGCTTAACGTTCATTGATTTAAAGAAGGCCTTTGATTCTGTTGAGACGGAAGCGGTCATTGAAGCCCTAGCCAATCAGGGCATTCAAGCCCAATACATCAGGATCCTCCGTGAGCTGTATTGTGGATTCACTACCAGGATCTCACCATTCTACAAAGAAGTGATCGTTGATGTCAAGAGAGGGGTGCGGCAGGGTGATACCATTTCACCGAAACTCTTCAGTGCCACCCTCGAGAACATCATGCGACGACTGGAATGGGAAGGAATGGGAGTGAAGATAGATGGTCGGCAACTACACCACCTCCGCTTTGCTGATGACATTGTTTTAATAACACCAAACATCAGCCAAGCGGCACAAATGCTGGCCGACTTTGACCGTGAGTGTGGAAAGGTAGGACTACAGCTGAATCTCACTAAGACAATGTTTATGAGAAACAGCCTTGTTCCTGATGCCCCATTCGCTCTCAATGGAACGACCATCTCCGAATGCAACAGCTATGTGTACCTAGGTCGAGAGGTCAACATGACAAATGACCTGGCACCCGAGCTGCGCAGGAGGAAGAGAGTGACTTGGAACGCCTTCAAGAACGTCGAAGAAATAGCTAAGAGGACGAAGAACCTCCGGCTCCGGGCACATCTCTTTGATTCCACTGTTCTTCCTGCATTAACATATGCCTCAGAGACCTGGGCCCTACGCAAACAGGATGAGAACGCCATTCAGGTCTCCCAAAGAAGAATAGAAAGAGCTATGCTTGGAATATCACGTTTCACTCAAATGAGAGAATGAATCCGGAGTTCTGACATCCGTCGACGATCAAGGATCAGGGACGCTGTCTCATTTGCCAAGGTGTCGAAAATCAGATGGGCTGGTCACGTAATGAGATTTAAAGACGACCGTTGGACTAGAGCTGTTACTGATTGGATTCCACGGGATGTCAAGAGACCGTGTGGCCGCCCACCTACCAGATGGTCAGACTTCTTCGTCAAGATCATGAACGATCGGTTTGAGGCCCTTCATGTTCCCGGAGCGAACAGATGCCATTGGGCTACACTAGCACGCGACAGGGACAAATGGAGACGTTACTGGCGCCCGCTCGAGCAAATCGACGACTAACGGGAAGTTAAGTGATTAAGTGATTAAGCGGCTGGAGCGATAGCATAGAGGTGGGGTGTTTGCCTTGTGCACAGCCAGCCCAACCGAGCCGGGTTCGATTCCTCCGCCCCTCTCAGAGAGCCTGGCAAGCTACCGAGAGTATCTCACCCGCATGGCAAAGCCTGGCAAGCTACCCGTGACATATTTGATATGCCAAAAACAGTGTCTCACAATGGAGACGTTACTGGGCCTGCTCGAGCTAATGGATGAACAACGGGAGGACAGTGCTACAGTGCTACAGTGTGCCATGCAACTAAGGGGTTTAATGATGACACAAATGGTTACTTTCACATCTTTTTTGCTTTTATCAATATGAAAATGTACATGCTTTAGAATCTGATATCCGAGTTCAAATTCGGACTTGGTTGCTTACTATTTTGGGCCACACCTAACTGTGGTCATGGCTCTGCACTCAGGAATCACTCCTAGCGTGCTCGGGGGACTATATGGGATGCTGGGGATTGAACCTGGTTTGACTGCATGCAAGGCAAGTACCCTGCCCTCTGGACTGTCACTCCAGCCCATATTTGAGTAAATGAATGAATGACCAAAATTCTCTGAGGTGCAACGTGTACCATTGTAAGAGAGGGAACAATGATGCCTGTTCTTCAGCCTTTCTATAGCCGTTACTATAACAGGGACCGGAGAGATGGTCCAGCAGGTAGGGTGCTCGCCTTGCATGCGGCATATTCAGGTTCAGTTCCCCAGCACCCCTTTTGGTTCCCCCAACTCCATCTGGAGTCATCCCTGAGCACAGAACCGGGAGTAAGTGCTGAGCACCCTTGGGTGTGGTCAAAACAAACAAACAAACAAAAAACCCCTCCTATACATACTTTTAATAAACATTCCTGCTTATTGGGAACTAAATGAATAGACTATATGGTTATTATTTGTCCTGAAGGTGGAAGGATCTACTATTTGTCTTTTCTTCTTCTACTTCTTCTTCTTCTTCTTCTTCTTTTTTTTTTTTTGGCTCAAATAGCATATCGATTTTCCTGGCCCCAAAGTTTAAGGGTTTTTTTATTTTTTATTTATTTTTTGCTTTTTTGGGTCACACCCGGCAATGTACAGGGGTTACTCCTGGCTCTGTGCTCAAGAATTACTCCTGGCCGTGTTCAGGGGACCATATGGGATGCTGGGAATCAAACCCCAGTTGGCCGCATGCAAGGCAAATTCCCTTCCCGCTGTGCTATTGCTCCAGCCCCTAAAGTTTAAGTTTTAAATACATAAATTAAGGGGGTAGGGAGCTAGTCCAGGGATTAAAGTTCTTGCCTTGCTCGCGGCCCATCCCACATGTAGTACCTTAAGAATGGCTAGGAGGGATCCCTGAACACAGCTGGGCGTGTCCCGAACACCAAAATAATTTGAAAATGGAAATCAAAATCAATTAATTGAGCTGTGGAGAGAGTTTGGTGCTTGGTACCATGTGGTATTCCTACTCCTCCTCTCTACCCTCCCTCTACCCAGCACACAGAGACACGTTGAACTTCTGGTTGTGACCTCCATTTTAAAAACAAAAGGAGGGGCTGGAGTGATAGCACAGCGGGTAGGGTGATTGTCTTGGACGCGGCCGACCCGGGTTCGATTCCCAGTATCCCATATGGTCCCCCGAGCACTGCCGGGAGTAATTCCTGAGTGTAAAGCCAGGAGTAACCCCTGTGCATCACTGGGTGTGACCCCAAAAGCAAAAACAAACAAACAAACAAACAACAACAACAACAAAAAAGCAAAAGGAGTCGAGTGGAAGGGCTGAGCACATGTGTTGTATGTGGGAGGCTGGGCTTTGGTTCCTGTACCACATGGTTCTCTGAGTCCTCTCAGAGCACCACCAGGTCTGGCCCCCAAACTGCAAATCCAAATAGAATGAACCAGCCACCAACCTTGCTCCCTCCCCTACCTGTTCCTTAGGCAGGGGAGGTGGTGGAGGTGGATGGACACACTGCAACCATCTTGAAGAACTCGAGATTTGCCCCAGAGTTCCAGGTCAAACCAACGGGAGTGAAGCCAGCAACATGTGGAGGCAGCTGTGGTCCGCAGTCTGAGGTTGGTGTGACTTTCTACACGGGCTGCCGCTGCAGCAAACAAGTCAGCTGACACCACTTCGCTCATTAGTCACCATGACTTCCTTTCTCTCCTCTCTGCATCTAAAACGGGATTTGAATTAATTTCATCACTGCACTTTTTGAATGCTGATCAGTCAGAGATTTCTAACCAAGGGCTTCCTGCGTGGACCTCAGGGCATCTGCGACCCTTTCAATTCTGATGTGTCTAGGGGGATTTCCTCAGAAATAATTCTGTGACTTTCAGTATGTCCCCAAGGCCATTTTTATTGTTTTGGTTTGGGGGCCACACCCAGCAGTACTCAGGCTTACTTCTGCCTCTCTGTTCAGGGATCACTCATTCCTCGAGGGATCAGGGACCAAATGTAGGACCAGAGATCAAACCTGGGTCCGCTACATGCAAGGCAAATGCAGTACTGACCCCCTGGCACTCAATGGTGTTTTTTTTGAAAGGTGGGAGGGTTTGAGGGAGGACCATACCCAGCAATGTCCAGGGGTACTGCAGGCTTTGCACTCAAGAAATACTCCTGGAGGTACTTGGGGAACCATATGGGATGCTGGAGGTTGAACCTGGATCGACTATGTGCCAGGCTGTGTGCCCTAACCACTGTACTCTTTTCGTTCCCGCAATGGCATTTAAAAACAGAAAAGAGTAAGAGGTAGCTTTGAAAAAATATACAAATTAAATACATTTATTATTTATTATTATTTTATTGTTTGGGGTACACACCCAACTTTCCTCAGAGGGCTGGATTCCCCAAACTAGGCTGGAAAAGTTCCCCAACCCCAGTTTTCCCAGGGTGGCCAGTCTCAAAACCCGGAAGCTCATGAACAAGGGGGCTTCTTTCTCGAAGGCCGTTTTCTCGTGTCACTTTGCTCCTCTCGCTCCTGCTGAGGCCTGAGGTTGGAAACGAGAGCTGGCTTATCTCCCGGCTTCCTTTCTTTCCTGTGTGCCAGTGTCTAGCTCTGCTCCAAGTTTCTGAAGTGGGTATCTGGGAGACTGAAGGAGGAGTGAAGGAGGATGCACAGCTGTGTGTCCTAGAACTCTAGCCCTGCACTTTGGGGCAGAGCCTCTTAGCTTTATCACTGAAGGCCTCTGTGATAAGCCCGAGACCCAGGCAGGCAGCTGGGTGCAAGGCTGGGTGCCCTCACCCACCCTGCCCTCCGCTGGAGGAAAGAGAGGCTCTGCCTCGCCCGTCAGCAGCTCCACTGTCACTGGGCTTGTGGGAGAGTCCTTCTGTTATTTTTCTTCTATGTTTTCCTCTTGTTTTTCTCCTCTTCACCTCTTCCATCCTGCAGCTTCTTCCCTTCCCTCTACCCTGAGATCTCTTTGGCTGTTGTTGGCATCTCAGCATGGCATGTTAGTCTTTGCTAATAGTGACCTGACAGCAGGATGTACCCGTTTTTTGTTGGGTTATACCCAGGGATGCTCAGGGGTTACTGCCTGACTCTGCACTCAACAATTACTCCTGGCTATGCTGGGGGAACCAAATGGGATGCCAACATCTCAGCCCTCCAGCATCTCTGTTCCAAAAGGGCGAAAAGTCCATTTAAGTGTCCATGGAGATAGTACAGGTCAAAGCGCTTGTACATGACTGATCTTGTTTGACGTTGGTTCCATCCCTGGCACCACAGATGGTCTTCTGATCACTACCAGGAGTTATGCTTGAGCACAGAGACAGAAGTAAGTCCTGAGCACAGCTGAATGTAGCTAATTCCCCCCGCCCCCAAATGCATATACATAAGTAGGAATCTCACAAAATAAAACAGTGAAATCAACTTCTCTGATCCAGTAAGAGTTTAAAAGCATCTTTCCTCTGGGAGAGCCTAGGAGGTAGCTCAAAGGGCTGGGGTATGTGCTTTGCAAGTGGGAGTCTTGGGTTCAATCCCAGGCACCTCTTGCTTCCCTAAGCACCCCTGGGAATGAATCCCTAGCACTGAGCTTGGAGTAGCCTCTCAGGACTGCTGGGTGTAGTCCCCAAACTGAAACAAATCAACATAAGTATCTGGGGGCTAGTTCAATGGTGGAGTACATGCTTTACTGGGTTTGACCCCAGCCTCGAGACAAAAGTTTAAAATGTCATTGAGTGGGGCCAGAATGATAACAGTACAGCAGGGAGGGTGCTTGATTTGTATGAGACTAACCTGGTCTCGATTCCTGGCAACCCATATGGTCCCTGAATCCACTAGGAGTAAGTCCTGAGTGTAGAGCCGGGAATAAGTCCTAGGCACAGCTGGGTATAGACCAAAAACAACATTAAAAAAAAAACATGTCGTTGATCTTGAGAATAGTAATAATTTGATTAGAATCACCAGGAAGTTGTCCACCTCTATAAAGAGAGAACTGGTGGTCCTAGGAATCCATGGAATTATACAATTGTTTCTATCTCTCTTCTAGGTCAACACCCTCAATCAAAAGGAAATATTAGGGTCCAGGTACCTCTAAACACCTTTAACTTGTCTGTTCCTTTGGGTTTGTCTTTTGACAGGATTTAATTTCGGACCCATTCAAACTTGCAGAAGAATCTGACAAACAAAAGCCCAGATGTTCTGCCAATGTGGCCGGCAGTTGCTGTGGCGCCAAGACAAGCTGCTGAAACTCCAGGTGATCAGAAGACGGTGGTTAGGAGGCAGAGGGCTAAGCTGTCAAGCCTAATTGGATCTTCCCTAGAGCAAAGACAAGAAGCAGTGGCCCAAGGCTGTGGTATTCCAGATCACTGATCAATATAAATGAAAGACTTTTAGAAGGCATTTATTGAAGGGTCTAAAGCAAGTGGCCCAAAAATAAATAAATAAATAAAAAATAAAGCAAGTGGCCTAAAATAAAATTTAGGAAAGTTTTTCTTTTTTTTTTTTAAATTAATTTAGAGGTTTGGTGCCACCTAGTGATCAAAAAAGGAACACTTTGGTGGTTTTTTTTTTTTTGGATTCTGTTTATTCTGTGAATTTGTTTTTATGGAGGCTGCACACACCAACAGAACTACAATAATCACTGATGACTCAGCTCCATATTGCTATAACATCCACAGAGATAAAGAAAATTAATTAAAGATAAATTGAAATAAGTGCTGTCCGATCACGATCATGATCATCCTGTTGTTCGTCGATTGCTTCGAGCAGGCACCAGTAACGTCTCCTTTGTCCTAGCCCTGAGAAATGCTCTTTCAGGGTTAGGAGAATGAGACCCATCATTGTTACTGGTATTTGGCATACTGGGTATGCCACAGGGAGTTTGCCAGACTTTGCCATATGGGTAGGATACATTCGGTAGCCTGCTGGGTTGTCTAAAGTAAGAGCGAGATAATAAGATGTGCTGTCCATTGATTTTAATTTCAGAAGCTACAGTGTATTGAGGTGAAAGTGAAATTGAATTGCATAAAAGATTAGTATGTAAAGGGATATACTTGATAACATTTCATATTTGAATTGCAAACCGAAAAGGAGAGAGGAGAGATGATGGAGAGAGGAGAGAGGCAAGATAGAGAGAAAAGATAGATAGATAGATAGATAGAGAGAGCGAGAGAGAGAGAGAGAGAGAATGCCTGCTATAGAGATAGGGGGTCGCAGTGACGTGAGGGAAACTGGAGACATCGGTAGTGGTGGGAAATGTACACTGGCGAAGGTTGGAATATTGTATGACTGAAACCCAATCATGAACAGCCTTGTAACTGTGTATATCACTGTGATTCAATTAAAAATAAATTTAAAACATTTAAAAATAAAATGTAAGCTTCTAAACCTCCCCAATTTTTTGAAAGAAGGCAAAATACCTTTTATTATGGGACTGAAACAATATAATATCAATAAAAATTTTTATACCCACTCCATCTGGGCCTCAAAATATTTGTTCTAGTGGTGGAACTCAGAGCAACAGTGAACAAAGCCATTTAGAACTAACTCCAGAGTGGAGTATGAGGCCTAATTTCTGATTCACAGGCTTAGATGGTGTCGAGGAGTATACAGTTGTAGGAACAGAAACCCTTTTCCTTGTTGGAGGTGACAAGGTGACATCCCCGTGGTCTGCATTGGTCATAGCTGGAGGCAGTGTTTGGAAGACATTGCTTTGGTTCTGAAGCAAATTCTCTATGTCAGACATCGGCTCTGTTCACTGTTTTACATACCTCATAACCATTTCCATCCATGAGTTCCCTGTGCTGTCACTGTCACTGTACTTCCGTTATTCATCGATTTGCTCGAGCGGGCCCAGTAGCGTCTCTATTGTGACAATTGTTACTGTGTTTGGCATATCGAATATGTCACAAGTAGCTTGCCAGGCTTTGCTGTGCGGGCGAGATACTCTCGGTAGCTTGCTGGGCTCTCCGAGAGTTCCCTGTGCAGGCATTTAAAATTAGATGATTGCCAATGGGTTGGAAAAATCCTGCCTTATATGTTGATGTACTGTACCTCAGATTGCAGCTTCATTTTGGCAAGATCAAGGGTAGAAAGCAGTAGTTGTAACTGCACCACCAGCACCAAAGGGTCAGAACAGGCATCCTGGCTCAGCGGCCCAAGGGGCCAAGGAGAAGTGCCATGGGCCAGCCAGGGGTCTAAAGACCTTAGAAATATTGGGTAGAACATCTCTCTTCAGAACTGGTAGCACCTTTTGATTTATTACATGTTTACTCATTCAACCAAGCTCCTTCTGAAATCATGTGAACAGGCCAAAAGGTTGCCAAACCAAACTGAGGAAGAGTGTAGTTGAGGTCATGGACTTTTTTGTTTTTTTTAAACCAAATATATTTTTCTAATGAAAAAAACTATGAAAAGCAAAAGTGTCTGATCTCACTTTGCCCATATGGATGAATGACGTCACAGTCACTATGTAGTAAAACCTTAACCAGCTTAGGAAAAGAGTTAGGTAAAATATGTTTTGGTGGTGGTGGGGGGAAACCTCTCCAGATGTAAAGGTTACACTCAGGCATGCCACATTTACACTCTAGTCCTTTGAACTATTTCCCTAGCCCAAATCTGATCATTGTGTTTGGGGACATCCATAGCATTGTCCAGACTCTGGACTCAGGATCAATTCTGGTGTTGTTTGGTGGTTAGAGACAATATACAGTATAAAGTTCCTGGGACCAAACTGGCTTCTGTCAATACAAGGCAAGTTCCTGTATTGTTAAAAAAATGGGGGACACACTTGGCGATTCTCAGGGCTTACTCTGCACTCAGGGATCACTCTTGGTGGGCTCAGGGGACCATATGGGGTGTTGGAAATCTAACCCAGATCTGCCATATGCAAGGCAAACGCCCTCCCCACTGTACTATCACTCTGACACCAGATAATTTTTAAAAGAGAAACTCACGGTCATGGTCCTCCCATTATTCATTGATTCGCTCGATCGGGCCCAGTAACATCTCCATCGTGAGACTTGTTACTGTGTTTGGAATATTGAATACGTCAGGGGGAGCTTGCCAGGCTTTGCTGTGCGGGCGAGATACTCTCGGTAGCTTGCCAGGCTCTCCGAGAGGGGTGGAGGAATTGAACTTGGGTCGGCCATATTGGCTGCTTGCAAGGCAAACGCCTTACCTGCTGTGCTATTGCTCCAGCCCAAAAGAGAAACTCATGGTCATGGTCGCGGTCACGGTCCTCCCGTTGTTCATCGATTTGCTCGAGCGAGCCCAGTAATGTCTCCATCGTGAGACTTCTTGTTACTGTGTTTGGCATAACGAGTATGTCATGGGGAGCTTGCCAGGCTTTGCTGTGCGGGAGAGATACTCTCTGTAGCTTGCAGGGCTCTCTGAGAGGGGCGGAGGAATCGAACTCGGGTCGGCCATGTTGGCTGCGTGCAAGGCAAACGCCCTACCACTGTGCTATCGCTCCAGCCCAAAAGAGAAACTAGGAGATGTAAAATGGTAAGTTTCTTTATTCCTTATGTGGTGCCAGGTTAAACCATTAGGGAAGTAAAGACTTCCAAATGTCATAGTTAAGAAAATTGAGGAATAGTTCAAAAACGATTACATTATTAGAAATTAAGAACAATTCCAGCCTTTTTGGAAAACAGTATGGGCATTCCTTCAAAAACTAGAAATTGAGTTTCCATATGACCCCGCAATACCAATTCTGGGACTCTATCCTGAGGGTGCAAAAAAGCACAGTAGAAATGACATCTGCACCTGTATGTCATTGCAGCACTATTCACAATAACCAGAATCTGGAAACAACCTGAGTGCCCCCAAACAGACAACTTTCTTGGTTAAAGAAACTTTAGTACACCTACACAATGGAATACTATGCAGCTGTTACAAAAGATGAAGTCATGAAATGTGCTTATAAGTGGATGGTCATGGAAAGTATCATGCTTAGTGAAATGTGGCAGAAAGAGAGGGACAGACACAGAAGGAGTGTATTCATTTGTGAAATATAAATAACCTAAAATGAGACTGACATTCAAAGATAGTAGACACAAGGGCCAGAAATATTGCTCCATAGTGGGAAGCCTGTCTCATGACTTGGGGAGAAGGCAGCTAGAATAGAGAAGGGATCACTAAAGTCAATGATGGTTGGGGAAATCAGAGATGTGTTCTGAAAGTAGATACAGGACCAAATGTGATAACCTGCCAGTATCTATATTGCAAACCATAATGCCCAAAATTAGAGAGTATCATGGTCCTCCTGTTCATTGATTTGCTCAAGCGGGTCCAGTAACGTCTCCATCATGAGACTTGTTGTTACTGTGTTTGGCAAATCGAGTATGTCATGGGTAGCTTGGCAGGCTCTGCCGTGCGGGCGAGATACTCTCAGTAGCTTGCCGGGCTCTCCGAGAGGGGCGGAGGAATCGAACTCGAGTCGGCCAAGTTGGCTGCGTGCAAGGCAAACGCCCTACCGCTGTGCTATCGTTTCAGCCCTAGAGAGAGAGTATAGGGGGAAATTGTCTGCCAGAGAGGCAGGGGGAGGGGTTGGAAGTGACGGGTAATACTGGGGACATTGGTGGTGGAAAATGTGCACTGGTGGAGGGATGGGTGTTCGATCATTGTATGATGAAACTCAAACATGAAAACTTTGTAACTGTATTTCACAGTGATTCAATAAAAAATAAAATAAAAATAAAAAATAGGAATAAATAAATCTAAGAAGTAAGATAAAAAATTTAAAAAAAGAGAAATTAAGATCATTAAGAAGAGTTTTAAGGATGGTTAAATAAAGTCTAATTTTGATTCTTTTCATTGTTACCAGAAACTGATAGTTCAGTTTTTAAATATTGATTTCAACAATATAGATCTTTTTTTGTTTGTTTGTTTTAGGACCACACCCAGTGATGCTCAAGGGTTACTCCTGGCTCTCTACTCAGGAATCACTCCTGATGGTATTTGGGACCACATGGGATACTGGGGATTGAACCCGGGATGGCAGCATGTAAGGCAAGCAACTTACCTGCTATTCTATTCTATCTCTCAGGCCTAACTTTTTTTTTCTTAGGCAAATTTCTTTTATTTTTTTTCCCTTAAATTTTTATTAGTGAAACACCATGAGGTACAGTTGTAGACTTACAAATTTTTTTTCTTAAATTTTTATTAGTGAAACACCACCATGAGGTACAGTTGTAGACTTACAAATTTTTGTGCTCGGGTTTCAGTTATACAATGATCAAATACCCATCCCTCCACCAGTGCCCATTCTCCACTACCACGAGTCCCAGTATCCCTCCCACCCCCCATTC